GGGGGGGGGGGGGGGAAAAGACAAAGTCAAGAATCACCAGCCAACTGCAAGCTGTACCATGAGGAGTACCATGAGGCTCTCAGTGCTCAGTGCCTCCACACACATGCACATGTCAGTGAGCTTTCTTCCTGTCCCTGAGATGGAAGAAAGCATGTCATTACTGAAACCGCTGTCCTAAATGCAGCACTTTCACTACACCTCAACAGAGAACTGGGGAAATTTGCTGCCTAAACAGCAGCAATTGATTGGGGTAAAGGCTGCAGAACCCAGCCATCAGTGGAATGAAGGAGACTGACAAGAGCAAGTAGACAGGATGCAGAGAGAAAATAAAAAAGCCTAGCTCTCCCACTGGTGGACAAACAAAACCAAGACACAGCTTTGTAGGACTTTTACAACTCCTCTCAAGTCCTTATTTTCCTCTGAGGGAGGGGAAGATCCAAGCCCATCACAAATATAATGACCCGGCACTGTAGAAGGGGGCTTCCTTTAAGTCCCCAAAGCATAGCAGGCTCATCAGTTTGTCCTTCTCAGCTAACTCTTTAGCATTCCAGCTCCTCCCTACAACTCTTTGGGTCCTTTTGCTTCCTAGGGAGTGGAGTTTTGAACATGACAAGCTTTATGAACAATTACGTAACTGACCTAATTCCTTGCAAACTACCAACAACTGTTTCTCCAATGGGAATATCAATCTCATGGAAGATGCACTGGCTATTCTCACCACCCCAAAAGGCCGAAACTATTTGCTGGGCGTCCAATCTCTCTGGCAACCACCATGGAAATGGCTGCAGAGGCACAGAACAAGCCCAGCAACTAGATGGGATGGAGCAGTCCTACTGCAGGCCAATTGAAGCCCTGCAGGTCCCCCTCAGGTTCCTCTCCCCCATGAATCAGAATATTTTACTGGAGGAAGAACAGGAAGGTTTTACTGTGTTTTCTGATGGAAAACTCCCCTTTCCCCCAAATGACCTGGATCAGGCTTTAGCCTGCATTAGCAGCAGGCTGTTACTGAGGTAGAGGCTCCCTTCGAAGGACATATCCTCCAAAAAAAAGTAAGCATCTCAGCACCAGGGCAAGGATAGGGTGTGGATGAGCCTGCTGAAGTACAGAAAGTGTTATCTAGTTTTTGATCAGTCGTGACTCCTTTTTTGAGGTTAATTACTCCTGCCCAACATAAAGTAAATCACAAAAACTGGAGTGGCGAGCTGTGTTTCACTGTGCCAAAAACAACTGACATAAGACCTTTTCTTCATAATGATAACCTTCATAATGAACTCAAGGAAGGGAAGAGAGAGCTCCTCACTCTCAACCAGAAAAGTGGGTATTACAGGAAGAAAAAGAATTGAGAGGAACATTTATAGCTTTTTTTCCTCCCATGTTTTGTATAAATTAAGAGGAGAAAAACATCTTTTCTCTTGAGTCCTTTCTGCTTTTCCTTTACTCTCTTTGTTTTTAACCTTTCTTCCTTTTTAGAAATGCTTACCTCACCAGGTCGAATTTTGATGTAGAAGTTACTTCTTTTGTATGAAATCTTGAGGATCTTGGGCCAGGCAAAACGGTTTATTCTCAGCCTGTCCCTATATATGAGAAGGCCATTGGCACAAACACCCAGCATGATGTCAATGCCTTCTGAATCCTGGGCATAAGAGAAAAACATTAATACATAGAAATCTGCCAGTACAAAGCATTTTTTAAACTAGTGAGCAGCAAGAAACTAAGGTGAATACATCGAAGGAGTAAGGGCAGGTCAATATATTTCTCTCTTAAATACCAAGTGGGCCATTGTCTACCTCTACTTCCACCTAAGTTAGTCCATCATATATTAAAAACTGGAACAAGAAAATACTAGCTGATCTTTCAAAAGTTTGAGAAATATGGATGGTACCAAGACCTCCTGGAAAAATATCAGGGATACTTTAGGTAGGAAATACCTTCCCTTGGAATAGGGGCATTAAACTGCTTGACATACTACACCTTTTATAATTCCAAATGCTTGCAGTTTTATGTGGCTACTTTCTTCATTTCTGGACATAGCTGCAAGGTTCCATTAACGACAATACTCCACTAAAGCAGCTTCCCCCCACCACAGTCTTTTCCAAGTGTGCTAGGACTAGAATTCTCAAAATTTACAGCCACCCACACAGGACGCTCATGGAACGGATACACATGTTCTAGAACCTGGTCTTTTATTAATATTAGAAACAAGTTTCCTGGGCTAGGAAAAATTCAAGCTCATGACACAAGTCTGTCAGTTGCTGCTCCTGACCTATACTACTGGAAGTATTTTGGCTTGTGTTCAATGAATTCTGTGCAAGGGCTGTTAAAATTGTTAGCAGAAAGAGACAATCATCCACAGTTGTGAATCATGGACAGAGCCCTTTCTCTTTTGGTAGCTTCTCTGCTTCTTTTAACATGATAGCATGTTTGTTAGGTAACATTTTGATGAACTTTTTGCACTCCATTAATTCTGACTTTTAACTCTTCTGCCTCTTGTGTGGTCAACTATATTAAAGAATAAAAGTCATCCAACAATCATTATGCCAAAATAACTGTTGAGGACAGGCTTTATATTACTTCAACAATGTTAAGTGCTGTAAATCACTAATGGGAAATGGCTTCAAAATTATCTGCTTTATTGCAGTAATAAAGTAATAAATACAGTAATACAGAAAGTAAAGGAGAAAACTCTCAAGGAATAGAGAGAACATGAAGAAGAGAAACAAGATAAAGTATAAAATATGTAGAAAATAAATGAATGAATTTCCGTTATGGAGCCTTTTCAAGTACCTTATATTTCTAGGTTTCTCTTTAAATCTTTCATAAAATAAAATTTCCACTTATTAGTCAATTCTTACTGAAAATACTCTACAGCATGGTTGCACAATACCATGAACTTTTAAAACAAAGTTCCAATCCTAAATGTTTGTCCTTAGGTATCAACATAGCTATTTATATAATGTCATAATTTCAGTAGCAGAATGATAACAACCATACAACTTAATTTTAAGTGAACCAATGTCTTCTGCATACTGGTAGTGAACATGTCAGAGGATGAAGTGATATTTTATATTTAAGCATTCTTACTAGTATTTGAAATAAAGGAACGCATAGGCATAAGTGGATGCTATATAGTTTAAGCAACTCTCTAAAAAGGAGTAAATATTGCTTCAAAATAATCCAGGACTTCTCCCACTTGTGTGCTCTCAGAACTCTATCTTCTCACTAAGAATACCTTAGCATGATGCAAGTCAACTCCATACATTGAAAGTTTCTTGGCATTCTCCAGGAAGTGAATCTCTGCCTCTCCAGGTGTCATGCCCCTTTAGAGGAAAAATAAGAAGGAAAAAGTACTAAAAAAGAAAATCAAACACTGTTTGATGAGTAGAAGGCTGGCATTTCTTTAAAAGGACTTTATATGACAAATATAGGAAAATATAGGTTATGCAAATCTAGTTGCTTCTAAATGTTGCCAGGTGGCAGGCTTTCCAAAACTTGCTTGCTCTTGATACTAACAATGGAAGACAAAAATGTACTCACCGGTAAGTCTTATGTAGCTCCATAATACGCTCTTCCAGTTCCCTGGTCTGATTTGGAGCAAAACGCAGTTCACCAACATAATTGCCAACATGTTCTTCAGTATCATAATCCCCCAGTTCAGCTTGTACAGCATAGGAGCCTAGCAGTGCATGTGTTACAAAAGAACATGGTAGACGTCCACTGATGATATCTGCTCGGAGTTGCAGGCACAAGTAATACCTAAGGAAAGGAAGAGATCAGAAATTTGAAATGTCCATAAGGAAAGCAAACAGCTAAGGGATGATTTAGGTTTCAAGACAAGCCTGTTCAACTAGCGATCCACTGCTAAATACAGCATGTCCATTTTACACAATAGCTTTCTGAGGATTTGCTAAATCTCATGTTTTGACTCAGCAATCAGAATTCTGAATCTTAACAACTTAAATTTGGGAAACCATTTGAAGGGAGGGATACCCCACTAACCAACAAAGCCTAACAGAAACTTGATAAACATCCAGTTTTAATTTATCTCCTGAGACAGAAAAATAGTGTACCATTTCAGTAAGGCCACAATATTTGGTTAATGGACTGCAAACCTCCAACAAGGAATATATGGAATTAGTGCTACAATGAAGGCTTTTTGCAAAATAGGTTAACTTCTTCTGGCAGTCAAACAGGAAACAGCACCAAGGCCTCTGATCCAACATTTCCCTCCCTTTCAACCCCAAGAATGCAAGTGATTATTAGGACCAATTATTTGTTTCTGGAAGAACGTTCCTTTCTTCCAATGACCAATATAAGCAGTAGGAGCAATAGCTTGGGAAATCATTATGCTATTTTATTGCTGTTCAAGTAGTTCTTAGATTAGTTCTGAGGGAGTGAATAATGAGAGAGAGGGAATTTTTCTCACACATTGTTGAGTTCACTTATTGGCATGGCATGTTGTGTAGTTCCAGCCACTGAGATTTATTCCACATAGATAAAATAAACTATGGCTTCATCAATGTGTGAACTCAATCGTTCTCCTTTTAAAAGAGACTGTAAGAACTGGCCAAGACAGATATGTTTTTACTTACCTTGTGATATCCTCTGTGAGTTGGGCTGGGTCTGGTGGGTAAAATTTGACTGTGAAGGCAAAATTCCAGGGGCCACCTAAATAAGTGAGAGAGAGAGAAGGAAAGGGGAAAATACTAGGGAGTACATCGAGGTGATGCATCTTTGATTGCCTTTCTCTAACATGATTTTTGTTTCCTTTCTTTGGGTTGCCTCACATTCTCCTTAAGGAAACTATAAATGACTTAAAGAAGACGGCTCTTCAGGATTAGTGGAGATCCCTGCTTTCCTGGATCTTAACGGCTGAGGCAAACAGCAGGTATGCTTTTGCCTTTTAAGGTTTGCAGTAAGCAAAAGAGTCTTTGCTGAGCAGAGACAGTGACTTTGGTGTTGCTATGGAAACAAGCTCAAATCCCCAAGAGAGCCTGCTGTTGGGGAAAGACCTCCAGTAACAGCTCTTCAAGACACTGCACAGCAAACCTATCCCATAGCCAGCTATTTTAGAAAGAAAAGTCACTGAGAGGTCTTTCTCCAGCTCTTAGAACCTAAGATACAAACCTGAGAGCCTCTCATTCACACATGAATCAGAGAAATTGTTTGCTTTATCTTTATGAAACAAAATGGCTCTCTTTCTGTGACACAGTTGGATCTCACGTTATAGTGGAAGCTATCTTATGGAGTTGGTAAAAAAGAAACCCTACCAATAGATCAGACAGGACAACTTTAGGATCTTTTCCAGCTCTACACATGACAAATAGAATCACTAGGATGCACAGTAGTACCCATCTGGGATGGATACATCCTTCATTCTTGATGATTTGAAGAAGGGGATGTGGCTGGCAAGAAGCCTGTGATTTCTTAAATGAGATAGCTCTCAAGCACCTCTGAAGAACAGAATTGACTTCTAAATGCAGAGAGAGCAGGACTGGAAAATGAGAGCTACAGACTGAGATAGCTTCTCCCCTGAGCCTCAAACAGAGTAAATCTAGTTCTGCCAGTTATTACAAAAACTACCTGCCAGAAAATTGGTAGTGGAAATTTACCTGATACATGTACAGAGGCCCAATAAAGTCTCATTCATTTGAATAGCCTAGCGCATTTTCAACAGTCTGTAAAATCATAACAGTCTAGAGAATGTTAAAATGAATGTTAATAATTTATACAGTGATCTTATTATGCAAAGTGCTTTGTATTAATTTCTTGACTCTAGCCTTTACGGTTACAGTTTTCAGATAGAGCAGTCTTAAACATCCATGCTTTGAACTACTCACTGCGAATCTGTTTCTTTATTTCCTTAGAAGGATCCAGCCAATTCTGAAAAAGTATGAGAGATCACATGAAGAGGAAATCCTACTCAACCACAACATCTGAAATAGACACAATACAAGCTTTATTTGAACCAACCTAACATACCTTCTGACTATCTGAATCACAGAATGTGAGTCCAAAGTAATCCTTCTCCAACAGGTTAAGGTGCTCACAGACCAGGTCAAAGAGTACTTGACCCCGAGCATGTTTCTGTATGGACACAAACAAGAGGGCAAGAATTAAGAGCTACGTGGACTACATAAACTTCTTTCCAAAGCCTACATAGCACCAGATGCAAAATAGCCCCTCTTTGATTTATCATGCAGTGAAGAACAGTAATTCTTTCTTTGCCTTCAATAGACTTTACAGAGCTATGCAGAATCAGAGAAAGCCTTATAAGGCCCACTATTTCATTCCAAACTTTTACCTGATACAAGATCTCTAGGAGCAGCTGTGCTCACAAAACAAGGTTTATTAAAATTATATGCACACGTATACAAACTTGAGCCTTTTTTAAACTTTTAAATGGGATAAAAAAAAAAGTATAAATACCCCGGTGGTCTCCCATCCAAGTACTAAGCAGGCTGACCCTATTTAGCTTCCAAGGCCAGCCAAGCTCAATTGACAGCACCTGGCCAACCTTGCCTTGTCCCAGATAATAATTCCATGTGAATTAACTAGAAAATCCCAAGGTTGTAGGCTAGACCAAGAAAAAGAAAGCAATAATGAAAAACCACTTCCAAAACACTGACAAGAAACCTGCAGGAATCAAGTTCAACTCAAATGCATCTTTACCTTGTTACAAAGGTACATACTCTTTATGTAACAAAAAAGTCCTTCTTTCTCAATCTTACATCCTCCAGAAGGATTACGTTACATCTCCTAATATTCCTGTTAGGCTTCTTTCAGCTCAGAAGGCAAAATACTGCAACAATATATTTCTCAGGACACAAAAGCTCACGTAAGTAGATTTAATGTAGTAAAATTCTGCAACTACTACAAAAGAATTCCAGCAAATGGTATTTATCAAATACAAGCACTAATTATAACAATCAATGTTCAAACTTCTTGTGTCTTTTTCTCCTACCAAGTTCTAGAAGTACTAAGCCTTTTGGGCAGGCTATAGAATTTCCATCTGCTCCTTGTTTTGGTAATGTCCTGATCTATGAAAGATGATTTACTTAGAAAAGTAAAGTAACTTTCACAATCCCAACCTCCCACAACCCAACCTCCCACAAGAGGAGCTGTGTAAGAACATTATTTAAGTGAGCACAAATGCATTGTAGCAATGCAGAACAGCAGAAAAAGGAAAAAGACCACCTATACAACATCTTCCATCAAAATGGATATCCATGCAACTTTATCAAAAAGTACCTGACCACTCAACCTACTACAACACAACCTACACAAACTATGAAAAGGATCACACTGCCATACATCAGAAACGTCTCAGAAACCACCAATAGACTATTACAACCACATGGCATCTCTGTAGCACACAAACCAACAAAATCACTCCAAAATATCTTAAGTAAACTAAAAGACCCAGTCGCACAAGAAGAAAAAAAAGGAGTCATCTACAACTCTGAGTATACTCTGAGGATAGTGACAACATGATCCAAAGTTTGATCCATTAGTATGATCCTGTCTTGACCTGTCAGCATGTAGGCTCTGAGAATGAAAACTAATGGCTACATCATTAAGAAGCAATGTTAGTAGTAAACCAATTAACATTGTTTCATAAAAATACTTCCATTATATGAAGAAACTCCTTATTAACCTGTGCAACAAAAGGCACTGAATCAATTTAGGCATTTAACATGGATCTTTTTTCTCTTTTTAAAAATGAAAGGCAGGTTTAGGAGATCAAATTTTCTAAATGACTGTGAACAAGACAGTCATACACTGGTGACAGATAATTAATAATGTTTTCCAAGCTGCCTCTTCCCATGAAATTTTGCTATATTGCCATTGGTGTGAGTCTGTGTTGTTCCTGGGAGGGATGAGACACCCCAAGAGTTTACGGCCAGGAATATGCACTTCCAGCAGGTTCATCCAAGGCATAAAGATCATCCCAGTTGCCCAGCTAAAGCAAACAGGCAATAATATTGGGCATCAAAAATATAAGAAGATGCTGAAAGAGGAGGAAGATCACTTTAAGGACAACAGCAAAAGCTTCATTTCATACTGCATGGGAGAATGCAATGGTTTTTTCCAAGAAAACTGCATAGCTAGATGGTACTCAACATGCTACTGAGGAAGAGCCAAGTTTCATTTGGACTCCTAATTATGTTTATGATGTGGCTAGATTTGGCATGACTAGTTGCTGATGTTGCCATGCGGGAAAAAAAAAATCTGAAGGTGCAAAAATAAAATTACAGTGGGAACATGTAATATAAGAAGCATGACCATGGGACAACTAAGTACAATGAAAGATGAAATGAATCAACTACACATTGACATCTTAGGCATCAGCAAATTGAAATGGATTGCAATTGGACACTTTTACTCGGAAGATCATACTTATAACTACTCAGGGCAAGAATAAGAAAGGCAGTATTGCTTTAATGGCCAGGAAGGATGGTACTTAGGTACAATGCAGTCAATGACCAAATAATATCATTTAGACTTCACAGACAATTCTTTAATATCATGGTCATCCAAGTTCTTTTCCAACCACTGATGCTGAAGAAGAGGAGACTGATGAGGTTTATAGTACAGTTCATGCTGAAATCAATGGAACATGCAAACAAGATGTGCTGCTTGTGGGTGGAGACCATATATTCCAAATTTGGAAATAGTAAGGAGGAAAACATAGTTGAATTGAACGGTATAAGAAATATAAATGAAGCAGGAAAATCAGTTTCTGCCAATCCAATTATTTCTTTATTGCTAATACAGTCTTCAAATAACCAACACAATGCCTATATACACAGATATAATTAGGTGGAGTAACAGAAATCAAATTGATTGTATCAGTCAAGTATTTTTATTGAGGCCAAATTCTAGTACAAAGTAAAACTCAATGGTAAAAAACAGGTTGCATATAAAAAAGAACAAATCGTAAAATTAACTGGTCTATCAATTAGTCAGCTGCACATTTTGCATATGATGTAACTAAATTTAGCTTCATTTAGAGTAACAGAGTCATGGATATTTGAGAATAAAAAATTATGTGAAATTGATTGGAATGACCAGGAAATACGCATAAATCTGGGGTTATCAACTTTGACCATGTGCCAGCATAAAATGGTGTCTGTGTCTATTATAGTGTGTGTGTGTGTGTGTGTGTTTATATATATATATATAACATACAAACAGGGAGCAAACCCCCACTCACTAGCACTGATGATATTACCTAGTCAGA